GGATGTGGGGTATAAATTTTTTCTAGCCGGGTAAGTGGGAATGGCACTATATCCTTTATTTGAGTGTTGGGCACTGTTTCCTTTAATTCTTTCAGATGGTTCTTTACCTGTTCCTGGGTAGCTGCATCATATGTATACGTTGATCAGCATTTTACTGTAGGAGGAAACACTGTAGAACTCTGAAATTCTTTTGTAAGCTGTAGATGCTTTGGTTTCTCTGGTTTCTCATCTTCATCTCCCAGCTTAAAAAGCTGAGTGGTTTCTTCCTGGCCTTCCCCTCCTTTTGCTACAGTCTAGAAATTCTCTTAGGATAGTAAATAGGTATGATTGTTAGGTTTCCCATCTGTCCCATCACTTTTTTTTCATTGTTTGATGTCCTGTGTCTTAAAAACATCGTTTTTATTTATTTTGTCTATTTTGAGGGGTGTGTGTGTGGTTTTCAGGCAGGAGGTTAAATCTGGTACCTGTTACTCTATCCTTTTATCTTGGTTGGTAGTGAGAATCCAAAGCTTTGACTATTGCTTTCTTATCTTGCAAAACTTCACTTAAATGTTTCCATGTTGGATAGGCCTTTTCTCTAACAACACTTTAAAAATAGGTCCACCTTATCTCATTTTTCTCTATCATAGCATTGCCACTTTTTCAATTATCTATAAATGTACTTATCTGTATATTATCTGTTATAAATGAAATGAAAAGACCATAATTGTTTCACTCATGGTGTTTCACTAGGCAAATGTACTTAATGCCTAGAGAAATGTTTGACACAAGAGATGCTCAATAAAATATTCTTTGAATGGATTTTTTCCCATTTATTGTTTACCATAATTTTTGCTGATTTTTGTTTCTAGAAGCATCCCTTCTTTATTATTATTATTTGGTTTACTTCTCCATCTTGACTTTCTGTTCATTTTAAAATACTTATTTGCTTTTCTTGGCTAGTTCTCTTATCATCCCCTTTTCTTTTATTTCTTCTTTATTTTTCAGGTGTTTTTAGGATCTGTTATCATCCCCTATCCTTTGAAAAGAAAGGGAACATAGGCCTGAGACTCTCCAGAGTATCCTTTGTTGCATAACTAAAAGTTGATATACAAACAAGTCTTTCTGACAATGCTCTATATTAAGCCTACTTTTCAAACTTCCCTTGATTCATATGGCATAATATCAGTTTTTAACTAGCAAAATTTCTGTGATGATCACAAGGAGAACTGTTACTAGGCAATGAGGCAGCAGGCTGAGTTTTAGTCCTAAGTATTCCATAGATTGCTTATGATTCTGGGAGTTATTTAACCTTTCTGTGGTGTGGATTGGTTCATCTTTTGTAATAATTATAATAACTAACATTTATAGAATCACTTTTATTAACATTAACCCAGAAAAGTTCTACAACTCTCTAAGGGAGGTAGAAATTGCAATTCTTACTTTATATAGTAAGAATTAGAAGAAAGAAACTTAGAGTGATTAAATGCCTTGTTTAAGATTATAAATGTATTAAGTAGTTAATAAATGGAAAAGGTAAAACAATGTAAAACTTCTGATCAGATGTCTACTGTTCTTTTCAAAGCATTTTTCTGCTTCTAAAAATCATAATCTAAAAAATGTGAAAGTTTCTTTCAACTAAAAAACTTTATTATTCTATGATGTAAAAGTTTTGCAGGTTGGTAATTTAAAGATTTGGGGAGGTCAGCTCCTTGGAGCCCAAACTATCTCATAAGGTGACCAGTAAACGAGTCACTGATATAATTTCATTGATAGCGTGCAAAAACTGAGGTGTCTCCTGATTATAGAATAATGGTCTTGGTTTCCAATGTACCTGAAACTTTTAAAAAAGACACTTAGCGATCCAAGATTATACAGTGAAAACACTATGGTATAACTTTAGTATCAGATAGGCATAAGTTTGGGTCCTACTTATTCTGTGTGACTTTGAGAGACTCATTTCATTTTTTTCAACTTCAGTTTTCTCATGTGTAGAGAAATATACGAATATATATCAATCTGCCTGAAAGGTTATAATCACTATTAGATAATATAACAGTGAGTCAAATTGACTAGCAGAGTAGAATAGATAACCAATGGAACTGGGTTCTGTCATCCCAAATATGAACAATGCATATATGCTTTTCTGAAAGGAAACAATTAATGAAAAGGCTGAACAGTCTCTAATATAATAAAGTGAGATTATAGAAGTATATCAGACTATTTTAATCCAATAGTTAAACTTCAAGCCAAATTTTCATAAAATGTATTTTGAAAAGCAATTGTAGGATAAATATTTGAGTGATTAAAGAATCATTCCTGGCCAGGCACAGTGGCTCATGCTTGTAATCCCAGTACTTTGGGAGGCCAAGGTGGGGGGATCACTTGAGGCCAGGAGTTCAAGGCCAGCCTGGCCAACAAAGCAAAACCCTGTCTTTACTAAAAATACAAAAACAAAAAAATTAGCTGGCAATATTGATCATTCAGAGAAGACTTTTAGGAAATCTGATTTTAAATCCTTGGGCTTGTCTGATCCCCTATGGAGCCTACTGGTAGAGACATGGAGGATTTCTTTAAGTCCTTCTACACACTTGATTTTACTTCTGACTTAAAATGTTAGGTCTCTACTTAGAAACTGTGATTTCTTTTGCAAAATCCTAGTGAACCCAGTACCCAGTTCTTTTCTCACTTGTCAGATCTGAAAAGTTTCCCTGGCTGTTCATATGAGAGAAAAAAGCCTGCTGCCAAGCTCTATCCTACTGACATTATCATTTACTTACTGATCTTATGGCTTCTGCTAGATGCAGAGAACATGAAGAATTTTAGATATGGTCTTGAGAGCCTTGTCATGCATTTGGAAAGGTAGAGCATAAGTATAAAAGTAAGAGTCCATACTAATGAATTTCGGCTAAATGAATTAGGCTAAATGGTTCAGGCAAGCCTGTACTGTGTATAAGCCTGGAAGCATTTAAATAAAGGAATTGGCACAACAGGGCTCTGATGGCAGTAGGAAAGGCTTATATAGAAAGTAAACTTTTAGCAGGGCATTTCCAGAGAGGGAATGATATGAGTAAGTCATAATAGTAGCAAGATACAAAAATTTGGCTTAAGAGGAGAATAGTAGAAAATCCATTTGAAGATGTTGATAGAAATTATACTTTAGTATATCCTGAATGAAGGGATTTTTTTCAATTCCAATGGAAATATAAGGAATATAAGAAAATATATTTATTAAGATTTCTCAGAACTTTTAAAAACTTTACATCATGGCTGGTACTATAGAATCCTGATGAACTAAAAGCCTGTTTTTGCTCCTGATCCTCAGTTTCCAATTTAGTTTCTTAACATAAAAGAATTACAAGTTGATTACAGAAAAATCCGAATATATTGTAAAGCTAAAAGAAGTCTATAAAATCCACAAGGTCATGTTCCAGAAAATTTTCTATCTCTGTACACACACACACACACACACACACACACACACACACACACACGGTAGGATATGTTGCCTTCAGAAGGCTAAACTGGGATTCATAAGTCTGAATATGTGTGTTAAACCACTCTCAGACTATTTACAGAAAAGTTTTGGCTGAAACCCTTTATGTGGTGCAGAGGATGGGTGGGTGTAAAAGAATTGCATAGAGCAGGAATCAGCAAACTTTTAATGTAAAGAACTGGATAGTAAACATTTTAGGCCTTATATGTCATATAGTCTCTGTTGCAGCTACTCAACTCTGCCATTGCAGTGTGAAAGAATTTATGGACAATATGTAAATGAATGATTGTGACTGTGTTCCAATAAAACTTTATTACAGAAACTGAAATTTCATTAAATTTTCAGATATCAAGAAATATCATAGTACCAAATAAGTTTCTGTTTTAGGAGCAGCAGAAGCCAACATAGATAGCAATGTTCTCATACAAGGCAACAGGTAGAGATAGTGGGAAGGATTCCCAAAAAGGGGTGTTCTACTAGAGTAGAAAATTGGAGAATATTTAGGAGCAAAAATTACTCAACTTTTGGGCATTCCCAGGAACATTTTAAGGATTTCACAGAGACTGATTTATGTAAGCTAGGAGCATAAACCACCAAGTTTTAGATTTTGTTACTGATAAGATTCCATTCGTATATGTGAACGGGTGAGGTCTGAAGAGCTTCAGGTTACAAACAACATACATGTGTGAGTGTGTGTATATAATGTATTTTTATACAATTATAAGGCCATTTTGTATATGTTGCTAAACAGCCTGCTTTTTAACAGAATATATTAACATTTGATAAATACTTTTTTCACATCAATAAATATCTACCCATAACATCATTAGTGTCATCTGTACTTCTAGGCACACACACTCTCACTCTTTATCCTTTCTATACCAGTTTTTATAATTACTTATTATAAACATCTTCAGCTCTGTGTTTGCTACCACGGTAAATGTTGATCTTACTTGTTTGCCTTTGACCTTAATTATCCTACTTTATAATGTTTGGGTTCCTTAAATCACCATATAAACATGTGTTTGTATATATTAATAAAAACCATCAGAAATTAGGAATACTTAGTTATCTTCAAGGAATATAATTATTTAAAAGAAGCACATATTATGACCCTGGTTAGAATAGTATTATAAAATGGCCAAAGCATAAGGTTTCCAAAATAAGAAAGCATTGACTTATTACTGATACCAGTATCAGTATTAAGTTTTATTATTTACAAGGACATCATAGCTCTTCCTCCTCAAAATAAAACAGTGACTCTTAGACTAGTGGAACATGGCCTGCATGGTTTGAAATAAATACTGAAACAATGGGTATGACTGAATGGGTACAGGACAATAATGGATTGAAATAGTTCTATAATAATTTTTATTAAAATTATCAGGTGCACATCATAACAAAACAAAAATTTGCATGCATGTTGAATGTGTTTTAAGAAACACATTACTGAGCACTGATGTATGGATTTAACTCAAGCATTATGATTTAAAAATGCTATTTGCCTAACCTTTATATAACTTACTCTGATAGGAAGTACGGATCCGTTTCGTTAAATCAGGATAAAAGTTAGACAGGCCACGCATGCAAAAGTTGTCTTTGGAACATGCCAGAACACCAGCATCAGCAGCAGGCAGAAGAAAGAGAAAAAAAATCTAAAGTGAAAGGAAGTGATATCATACCAGAATCTAGAACAGCCAAGATGAAGAAATTGCAGCAAGATTAGGTAATTAAATTAGAGAGGAGATATTGATAAAATAAATCAATTAAAAAGAGGTGATAGATGAATGATGAGAATGCTGGAGTAACTTTAATATTTATTTAAAGATCTTATATCTTATTTAAATGTCTTATAAAAGTATGTGGTAAATTTTCCTTACATGTTTTTACAAAATATACTTATTTGGCTTGTAAATAATATGTATAAATTATTTCATTAATATAAAAATGAATGTCTTTAATCCTTCAACAATTAAAAAGAAAGCTAAAGATTTCAGTCTTTAATACTTCATTGTTATAATAAAGTGAGCTCTTATTGTGTCGTCTTGTACACTAAACACAAACTGAGTTAATAACTTCATCACAGCTTTTCGTGATTTTAAAGTCATCAATATTCTAAGCTCTAGTAGTAACTGTTAAGGTTTAAGAGGTTTAAATTAAATTTGATAACAATTGTATTAAATTTGTCAAAATGTATACTTTTTTTTGCACTGCTGTGTATATCCAGCAAGTAATTTAGATATTGTCATAGGATTCACAGATTTTCTGATTATATTGGTGCTTTTAGCACTGCAAACTGAACACTCGAAATATGGTTATTATGACTGAGGAACTAATTTTTAAATTATAAATAAGCTACTGCTTCCTAACACCTTTCTAGCCTAGAGTCTATCAACTTCAAACTTGTCTTTCTCAATCATGAGGGAACCTTACGTTATGCAAATGTACAATTGCTTTTATTTTGTCTTCCTTATAAACTTTGGTAGTGATAGAGGCAAAATCTCTAAAATTTAAAATTTCTAGCACTCCTAAAATATTGCTAAAAGTTGAGATCCCTCACTAAAAGCCCTTAGGTTCTGAAAGAGAAATTTTGTACCTCTCAAAAAGGTCTAAACTAGTAATTTGGAAATGATTGAGGTTTGCAAAAGAAAGGTTAACAAGGAGAGTTTCAGTATAACAAATTTCACTAGTCCAAAAAGGAAATTCATTTATTATCATATTTGGATGTTAAATTTGACATACCTGCTATTTGGAAAATAACACCTACCATCATGTACCCATTTTATTTTTATTATAAAATATTTTCCTATGGTTATATTTAGTAATGTCGTCAATATTCAATAGATTATTTTAAATAATACAAAGTAGAAATTTTATTTACTTATTTAAAAAATTTAAAAGGTAATTATTATTTTTAGAGATGAGGTCACACACTATGTTATTCAGCCTGGTCTTGTATTCCTGGCTTCAAGAAATCCTCTCACCTCGGCCTCCCAAAGTACTAGGATTACAGGCATGAGCCACCATATCTGGACTAAAGTAGAAGACTTTAAAGGATTATCTAAAATAATACAAAATATTATAGAAGCATTTTCATCTGCAACCTTTTGGCCTCATTTTTTTTTTTTTTTTTTTTTTACCAACTGGACTGTTAGTGGGCAGAAAATATACAAAACTTTGGCAGTGTTTACAAAACCAACTATTTGGATATATACTAAAATTTCGGTAAAACTTTGGATAATTGGCATATCAAAGTTTGTCATTAAATCCTAATTAAACTTAAGTTTATTTTCTTCTGTAGTTAAATACATCAATTCATGGATTCTGCCAAGAAAAATGCCACCTTTCATAGTACTTTAAAAATGTTGATGAAAAATGTTTACTGAATTGTGAAAATACCTCGAGGAAGGTCATTATCCAACAAGTAAAGGTGTCAGCCACAATATGGAATCAATTTTAAAAATTAAAAGTAGTGAATGACCTGAAATTATCTTTTTAAAGGGACTAGATAGTTTAGAAGAAAGTTAACCTGTTTAACACAACAATTGCAAGCAGTTTTTTCAATTACAGAGCCATAATTTTTGCAGCATTTTTACATTTAATGGCTTTTTATTTTCTGTTATTTCTTAGGAATTAAACCTAAGAAACGTGAGATGCTTCCTAACTTCAACAGCAAATTGAAGTTTAAACATACACTTCCCTAACACTTTCAAAGATTCTCACAATGTTTCTGCCCAATTTATTTTACTAACATGGTTTTGTAAATTATGTTGATTTTATTTTGCCATGCATTTCAATAGCATCACAGAAGAAAGACAAGAAATCTAAAAGTAAGAACACAGATGAACAAATCAAGTTCATAACTCATCTTGTTTTATCTCCTACCTGCAATGAACTGTTTGTTTTTTCGAGGAGACCGTGGTTGTCGCTGGTATAGGTCACTTGATCTATATAAGTCAATGGTCCCCATGCTTAACAGTACTGTCTTCTGTATAAAATCCACCACAGCCAACCCATTGCAGTTTCCAAATGCAACTCTGAGAGAGAGAAAAAAATGCAACTAGAATGTATCACAACAAGCATGATTATTTTTATCTTTAAATCAAAAATAGGATTATCGGAAAGTAATGATTTAGGGTTGGGGAAGTTCGGCAGTGATTTTTGTGAAGTCAAGGAGGATACTTTGGCTTTACGATGGATAAACTGTCTTTATATAATAGCCATCCAATTTACTGCAAAAAAAGGATGATTGGCAATTATATTTTGCTAGGAGTTTTATCACATAAGTCATGATTACCTGATCTGCTCTTTAACTAGACCTTATATTTTTACAGAAGAAATCACACAAAACCTTTTTGCTATGCAAGGGGAAGATAGGTCAAGAAATGTCACTAGCTACAAATGTTTATTATGTAATTAGATGGCTTTTTCAAATAAAATTATAATTACTAGACTCCATATTAACTATCTTCTGGAAAAAGAATAAAAATTAAATTCATATATCAAAGGCATTGACACTATATTAGAAATGAGAAGATACAAAAAATTGTTTCTTACTTCTGTGCTCTTTATTTTGTGCTCCTTTCAAAAGATAAAGACCATTTAATTAATTTCTTAACTAAATCTCCTGAGAAATTTTAAAAAGACCGTTCTTCCAATGGGCATTTTGATTGCCTTAACAATTAGGCATTCATTAACTCTCATTTTTCTCCATTTACAACATGCCCTCCAGCTGAACAATTCTATTTGTACATTTTACTTCATAAACTAAATAAACACTAGTTATATGAAAGTTGTTTTGCTTGTTTTATATATGTTCCAGGTTGTATTATTATTTAGATTGAATCTTGTTTACAAACCATCTGATTACTCTTAAAATGATACTTACCACTCCACCACACAAGTTAAAACACAACAACAACACTTCTACTCATACTAGGTGTTTTGCTAATACACATAGAGCTCTACAAACTTTGGAAACTGGAAAAAAAAAGTATTGTTATACTGGTCAGATCTGGGTTTAATTCTTATTTCTATCACTTACAGGATATGTGACTTTGAAAAAAATTAATGAATCTTACTTGGTCTTAGCTTCTTTACAGTGATAATTACACTTCTACATTTATCTAGTTCACAGAGCTTTTATGAGTATCAAGTCAGAAAATTATTTTTAAAGTACATTGAAATTTTTCCATGCAAAAAATTGATCTTATTATTTTAAGTAAATGCAATATTATACATTAACAGTTATAACAAGTTAGTATCTTTAAGCTTTCTATGTTAAAATATAGCAAATTATTTCTGCTTATAGACATGATAGAGTTTCTAAATGCAATAATGAGTAAAAAAAGTAGGCAACTAGGATGCATGACATTCTATGTGCCATAAATAATTATTTTTGTCTTGAAATTAAAAATAAGAATGCTGAGAAGTTATAGCTTAGGGCTGGGGAAGTATGGCAGTAGTTGTCAGAAAGTCAGTAAAGAGACTAGATTTAATCTCCTATTTTGAATTACTAGAAAACTGGACAAAACATATTAAACAACAATTTTCATATTGGTTAACGGAAAACAGAATAAGAGGAGAGAAGGATAACAACCAAGATAATACATTTCATAAATGTTCTGTGTTAGTGACTGGAGATAGTTCCCACGCTTGGGCACAGGAAACTAAAACACAAAGAGAGACTGATGGTCTCATTTAGTTGAGGAGGCAGAGATCAGAGACTGAGGCTGAAAAAACAGCTAGATCTAATAAGGCATAATAAGCTGCACAGAAAGAGAATACAAGAGATTTGCAGAAAGATGTCCCTGAGACTTTGTCTATGTACTAATCTGTGCATCCATGTGAAGAAGCTACTCATGGCCAATAAAAGAGCCATCAAAAAGATAAGGGAGAATAATTCCCAGGGCATACACAAGGCTAAGAATATTTTATGTTACTACCAATGAGGTGGCAGAGATCTCCTAATACATGGAACAGCAGATAGAGGAGTGTCACTTAAGTACCAAGACAATAGCTACAGATTCCAAGTAATTTAATTTCATTCCAGGAAAAAAACTGGCAACAAAAAAAAAATCACCAAAAATGTAAAATTCACAATATCCAGTATATAAAAAGTAGCAGGCCTATAAAGAATCAGTAAAATATGATAACCAGAGGAAAAAATAACTCAATAGAAACATGTCCAGAAATAGATGATAAATTAGCAGACAAAAATATTGAAAATGTGTTTAAAAGCATATTACAGATAATCAAGAAGGTTGAGAAAAACATTAATATGACAAAGTAAGAAATGAAAGACATAAAAAAGCCTCAAATGAAATTTCTAGAGACATAAATGTATATGAAATTTAAAAATTATCTGCACATCAGACATTATAGTAGAAAAGAATAGTGAATGCTATTCTCTGAATGTTTGTGCCTTCCCAAAATTAATATGTTAAAACCTAAACCCCAAGGTGATTGTATTAAGAGGTGGGAACTTTGGAAGGTAACTAGATCATGAGAATGGAGCTCTCATGAATGAAATCAGAACCCTTATAAAAGAGGCCCCAGAGAGCTGCCTCACCACTTCCATTACGTGATGATGAATTTAGAAGGTACTGTCTACAAGGAACAGGTTCTCACCAGACATCAAATCTACTGGTGCCTTGATATTAGACTTTTCAGCCTTCAGAATTGTGAAAAATAAATTTCTGTTGTTTACAAGTTACCCAATTTATAGTATTTTTGTTTAAAGCATCCCAGACTAAGAGAGTGAACTTGAAGAAATGATAGAAATTAGTAAAATAAAATGAAATTTTAAAATTTTAAAAAATAAAATTCCATAATTGAAGTTTCAGAAAAGAAAAACAACAGAAAACATATTTGAAAAAAGGATAGCCAATTTAGTCAAATGATAGACAAAATTTGAAGGCAGTAACAAACCTGCAGATAATAGAAATTTAAAGATCCCAAGCAGAATAAGAATGAAGAAAAATAAAAAGTCATCATAATCAGATTGCTGAAAACAACTAATAATAAAGAGAAAATGTTAAAAACTGGCAGAGGAAAAAAATATTTCTTACATTGTAAAAATCAAAAAAAAGTAAAATGAAATCATTTAAAAAAATTAAATGAAGCTATACAAACTAAAAGATAATGGAGTGGCATCTTTACAGTAAGAAATAAAAATAATGTCAAACTAAAATTCTATGCCCAGCAAATACATCTTTCAAAGGGTAGAAAAAATTTTTGCAAAAAAAGAAAAGCTGATGGAATTCTTCACTCACATAAATGCATTACATAAATAATAAGGAAAGTCTCAGAAAAAAATGATTAGAGATGGAAATATAGGATCTCTACTATATAATGAAGAACACCAAAAATGTTAAATATGAAAATTAATATTAAAGACTTTTCTCATTTTTTTAAAGGATAATTTACTAAGGCAAAATTAGTAACAATGTATTGTGGGGTTTATAACACATAGAAGTAAATTTATGAAAATAGTGCAAAATACAGGAAGATAAGTAGAAGTATGCTGTTGTAAAGTTATTAAAATATATGAAAGGTGGTATAATTCCATTTGTTTATCTACTTATTTGATAACTCAAACAGATATAGTGTAAGGCTGAGAGCAAACAAAAAAACAAAAACTAAAAGAAGTATATCTCAATAAATAAAGAAGATAAAATAGAATCATTAAAAGATACACAATCTTTCCCTGAAAAGAAGGTAGAGAAAAAGCAGCAAAAAAACAAAAACAAGCAGGACGGTGGCCATGGAAGTCGGAATCCACTAAGGAGTGTGTAACAACTCACCTGCCGAATCAACTAGCCCTGAAAATGGATGGCGCTGGAGCATCGGGCCCATACCCGGCCATCGCCGGCAGTCGACAGCGGACGGGAATGGCAGTGCGGGTAGCGGTGGGGTTCCTCCCGTCCCCACCCCGCCCTGCCAGAGCCCCGGTATCTCAAAATAATAAAAGCTATTTATGACAAACCAACAGCCAATATCATACTGAATGGGCAAAAACTGGACGCATTCCCCTTGAAATGTGGCACTAGACAAGGATGCCCTCTCTCACCACTCCTATTCAATATAGTATTAGAAGTTCTAGCCAGAGCAATCAGGCAAGAAAAAGAAATAAAGGGTATTCAAATAGGAAAGGAGGAAGTCAAGTTGTCTCTATTTGCAGGTGACATGATTGTATATCTAGAAGACCCCATCGTCTCAGCCCCAAATCTCCTGAAACTGACAAACAACTTCAGCAAAGTCTCAGGATACAAAATCAATGTGCAAAAATCACATGCATTCCTATACACCAATAACAGACTTAAAGAGAGCCAAATCAAGAACAAACTTCCATTCACAATTGCCACAAAGAGAATAAAATACCTAGGAATACAACTAACAAGGAATGTAAAGGACCTCTTCAAGGAGAACTACAAGCCACTGCTCAACGAAATAAGAGAGGACACAAACAGATAGAGAAACATTCCATGTTCATGGTTAGGAAGAATCAATATCGTGAAAATGGCCATACTGCCCAAAGTAATTTACAGATTCAATGCTATCCCCATCAAGCTACCAACGCCCTTCTTCACAGAACTGGAAAAAACCACCTTAAACTTCATATGGAACCAAAAGAGAGCCCGCATAGCCAAGTCAATTCTGAGCAAAAAGAACAAAGCGGGGGGCATCACACTACCAGACTTCAAACTATACTACAAGGCTACAGTAATCAAAACAGCATGGTACTGGTACCAAAACAGAGATATAGACCAATGGAACAGAACAGAGGTCTCGGAGGCAAGCAACATATCTACAACCATCTGATCTTTGACAAACCTCACAAAAACAAGCAATGGGGAAAGGATTCCCTGTTCATTAAATGGTGTTGGGAAAACTGGCTAGCCATGTGCAGAAAGCAGAAACTGGACCCCTCCCTGACACCTTACACTAAAACTAACTCCAGATGGATTAAAGACTTAAACATAAGCCCTAACACCATAAAAACCCTAGAAGAAAATCTAGGCAAAACCATTCAGGA